GGAAGAGACCTAAGACTCTGAATTAAACCACTCTGCACTGAAGAGTTTTGATACTCTGTATTTCAAATATACAAAACAAAACAAGAAAGAAGACGAAAATGTACTGAAAATAGCTCCAAGGACTTCTACACGAAGATGGAATTAGCCACATGCTACATCCATACCCCAACAGCAGAGCATTTACTTACTCCTGGTTCTACTTGAGTTCTATCTGCAATGTCAATATGGATTTTTTTTCTTCCACGTGTTTGGATCTAAATTGTGCACCTGCCAAAAGAGAAAAAGGAATGATTTCCACGCTGAGCCCTTACACAGTGATACACCTCGTGCAGTGTGTGTGTGCGGGCCATGGAATTTTCCTGGACTTCAAAAAGGCAGCGTTCTCAAAACCTATCCTTTCTTCCTCTGTCTTTCTAAAAGGGAAGTCTCCACAGTTACCGTTCAATTCACTCACTCACCAATTTTAAACCAGCACAAAGACTTCACTTCTTGTGCACTCAGGGAACGTGGATTTAAGATTAAGCTGCATTCTTCTGTCACGTTTGTCAGAGCTAATGAAGTCAAGCTCTAATTAGAAACATTACCCATGCAGCAATCAGCATGAGCTGTTTGATCTCAAAAGAAGCCACATGAATTCCAAACTGCAAACATGGCAGGTTTCAATAACCTGACTACATCTTGTAGGTTCCCTAAGCCATAGGGCTGCCTTTAATATGGACCAGATGAGGTGTGTGTGGTATGAAGGTATATAAAGGCCTAGAGATGCAATCAGCTTCACACTCGTAGTCTGTGAGGCATACCTAGACTTACAGTTGCAGTAACAGAGCTATGCTAGCATGCTTAAGGTAAAAAAAGCATGAAATTAAAGAGAACTTACTAAAAATATATTGGGATATTTGAGTGAGAATCAAGCATCTGCATTGACCTCAACATAAAAAATAGAAGCCTTTTCGTGTTCTTGCATCTTAGGTGAGACAGCCTGACCACCTTAGGATTTGAATAATGCTCTTCTTGTTTTACATTAATCACTGGTAGGATTTCAACTTTATGTAGTAATTATCCATCATTACCACGTATAGAATACTTTAACTGGATGACTGTGTATTGAAAATATTACTAAAGCTTGGTATCCAAATCCCAACTCACGTTCTCTACTGTCCCCAGATCTGGTTTATGCCAGGTCTCAATTTTTATGAAGAAGTCATCTTTCATGTATTCATTCTGTAAGAATTAAAATCAAAAGGCATGAGTCAGATTACATCTCTCTGCTTAAAGTTTCAATAAAAGGTATTTACACAGAAGTCACTACTAAGCCTTGACTAGCAACATATTCTATTTAAAATATGAAACAGGCCCCTTACCCACACACAGTGAGATAACTGCTATCAAAATCTAAAGTCTCAGCTACAGCAGTAAGTACTGAATTAAACCCAGTCACAACCAAGAAATCCAACTCTAACTCTGCATGCAAATAGAAATAATGCTATTTACCACTCTTCTTCCTCAACACTAAAATTCCTTCCCTCTATGTTCAAGGACTTTCCAAATTATTAATACTGCAGTTAAGACAAAACAACTAAAACACATTTTACATGAAACCTTTAATAAATGAGACTCTTCTGAGAGGCAGGGCTAACAGCTAATAAAAATTAGATGCTACTGTAGAGCACAATTATGATCATGAAGGTCCAGCTACCATGACATCGTGTGTCTAAAGACCAGCACAGAACTCTCCTAATTTCAGAAGCAAGCATACACCAGTGTGCACGTGTATCATGATGAGTCAAGCTAAACGGGTCACAGACTCATTTGTTACTCCTTATGCTGCATCCACCGAGTGACCACCTGAATCAAGCTTGCAAGCGAGCAGATTAAACAATTTAACACGAAACTTAAAAGCTTCCTTTAACATGTCACCGAAATACACACAGAGGGAAATAAAGTCTTCATGATCCCTCTCCCATGCATTTTAAATAAAAACCAAAACCTCCCAAACCCCCAGCTATGATGATCCATTTATCTTCCCAATTTGCCCATTGTAACTGAGGCAGGATTTCACTTTACAGAAATGAGATGGGGACTGATTTTACTTCACCACTCTTCCTGAACTTAAGAGTGTAGAAAACTCTGATTTGCCCTTTTTTTTGGTGTCTTTTTTAGCATTATGTTCTACCAGGGCCGATACTATGCAGCTATAACAGTAAGTAAAGGCATAAAAGATGATGTAAAAAATGAAAGCATTCCTCTGACAAATTACAGTTTTCTAATTATAGCCATGTGCAGACAAATAAAGTAACAAGGAGCTCTGTGCCAGGAGCCCTGGCAAGGCCTGTGTCAAAGGCTGGAGCCAGCTTGCTACAGTCAGAGTCAATTGTAGCAGTGACAACACATAAAATGTATCTTAACTAACCCAACACAGCACTGATAGTAATTGAAATACTCACTGTCACAACTGGCCACGGGAAACACACGCCATGAAAAGGAAAAGGAAACACAAAGCGTTATTAGATACAATTGTTTCTGAAAAGTCTCGCATGTTACCATTGCTACACAGTAAAAGAAACGTTCAAAATGAGTGAAACAGCATTTGTGTGCACAAGCCAGCAGACTCCAGCAGCCTTTGACTTGCCAGCCTCAGCCTCAGAAGTGCATTCTAAGATGCTTCAAACTGCTCAACAGAAACACAAAAGAAACCGAGCCCACTCTTAGAACCTACACAATTAAAGGTATTAAAACAAAGCAGTCACCTTATTCTAACTGACTGTGAAGAATTAAATCATTTTCCAACAGGATCTGCTCCAGTCCTTAGCAGAATCACCCCTTCAGTCTGATCTAGGGACGCTGCACACCCACTCTGACCCACTGAGGCTGCTGTTCAGAAGGAGCCCGCCTTTCCAGAAGAGATCTCACAAACACAGTGTTAAAATATGGAAGACATTTCCCACTTGATGGCTCCCTCTTTTCTGCTAAACCCTTTAGGAGCATCCCTCGACTGAACAGCGACAGCAAAGCACCCGAGGGGAGACCCACTTGTTCTACAGTAGGGATACGCGTTCCAGGCCTTCTCGTGGAACACCAGGGAGCCCTCTGGAGCGATCATCCGTACAAAACCGGGAACTTTACTGCGAAAACAAACACAGAAAACGCTTTAAAAATGTTTGCCAGGTGAAATTCCTCATTGGTTTCTTCCGCTCGAAGAAGAAAGGTGCTTTAAAGGTCGTGATGTCCGAGTTACCCACAGTTAAGTACGCAGGAACTCAGCACGTTACTGATCACAAAATCGTTAAGGAAGCGCTATGACCATGATGAAAGCTGTGCTTTCTCTTCAAGAGCAGCACAGAGGGAGGGAAAGCGCTGCCCAAGAGATCTCACTCCAAACTCTCCAGCAGAGCTGCAGGTTCACCAGTGAGCACGCCCGTACCTTGGCCTGCAGCCTGGGTGGAGGGCCAGTACTTCAATGCAACCATTTCTGTCACTTAGAGACACATTTTCCTCTTCACAGATCAAACATTTTGCAATGTTTTCCGTTGCGCTCTACCCCACATATTTAAAACCAGCTGCTTTTCACACTTTCCCACTCCTCAGAGCATTCACGCACAATTTGGCAAATTAAAGACCAGTAGAGACACATGAGTACCCCAAAATAGCAAACACCAGAAGGCTGCCCTCACTTTCAAACGTTTCTCAACACCAAGTGACCACAATACGCTGCAGTGTTTTCCTCACCTCTTTAAATGATAGATTTTGTGAGTATATTGTCCCTTCTCACCATCTTTTTCGTAAGGCTCATTTTTTAAGACTTGAATTCCTTCGCCACCTCCTGTTTCATTTTTGCTAGCTTCTGCCACAGAATAAAGTTGCCCAACTTGATACTGGAAAGTTAAGAGAGGTAACATTTCAATATTAAAAGTTAGCCAAAACTTGTAACGCACACACAAAAAAATTCAGCAGTTTCCAGTGAAAATTGGGTTATACAAACAAAACTATCAGGAAAGTAAAACACACCACGTAAAAAGTATTTAGTGAAGCACGACAGTCTGCTGGTCAGATTTAAGGCACTAACACCCTCCCACCCATCACCCCAAAACAAAAGCAGGCAGGATGAGGACATACCTCTTGCACTGAGCAAGGTAAAACCACTCGGCTGAAAGAGGAAAAGAGCAAATTCAACAAAATTAATGATTAGGCTTCATATGCAGACAACAGACATAAACCGTAACGCAGACATTCAAGAAGGGAGCGGCAAAACGCGTTCACTCAAGTTTTCTTTTCAGAAATGCTCTGTGACAGTAAGGCTGCATGGATATAATGCAACAAACCCAAATAAAATTCAAGGACAGACACGTAACAAAAGGGGAAAAAATGAGTTAAGAACCTTAGAAACTGCAGAGAAGAGCCAGGAAATCCAGGATCTACTTCCAGCTCTGCCATAACTTTCTACTGCACTGAATTGGTTTAAATTGCAAGGCAGGAGCTTTTTTCCTGCGTTACACAGTTCTGTCTATGCGGTTTAAAAGGACAAATGTGCAGGCCCTCTGAGCCTTGAAATTCACTTTGGCAACTGCTGCAGTTGCGAACCATTTCAAAAGCAACCACAGCTCACACTTGTTTCTGCCACCTAAACGGGGCACGTTTTAGACAAGCAGTTTAGCTCCAGAACAAGACACTGCACAGTTTCCAGCAACGTCAGGGGACGGCAACTGCTGCAGTTGCGAACCATTTCAAAAGCAACCACAGCTCACACTTGTTTCTGCCACCTAAACGGGGCACATTTTAGACAAGCAGTTTAGCTCCAGAACAAGACACTGCAGTTTCCAGCAACATCAGGGGACAGAGAAGTTGATTTTTCACAGTATTTTTCAGCTTCCCTTTACATAACAAAATGAACAAAGACGATGCAAACCATCATGGTGCAACACAACAGGAGAGGACAACTGGGTTTTTCCTTGGCCTTTCAAGTGATGCCCCCTCCTTCACTGACAACCTCATGACCATTAAATCCAATGCAGCACCACTCTCCTGAAAGCATGGACAGGAATTAAAGCTGTCCACTGTTCCAGAGAGGGAGAAAGTCACAGCTGGCTCATTCAACCCTCGCTACCTGTGCTGCGTCCATGCTTTGTGAGCAGTGAACTGGATCTGGTATTAATAGGTACAACTGTGACCATGACTTCAGCAACTTCATTGCTGAACCCTGAGCTGGATGACAGAAAATGCAGCAACTTGAGAAGAGAGAATCAGTCATCCGAGCAGATCAAACTGAGTCTTGCAATTTCCAGGCAACTTCTTCATTATCCCTTACTGGATCAAGATTTTTCTATTTCGGTCTACTACGCGCCTCACTGAAATAGTTTTATTTAAACTGTGAAACCACCAGAGAGAAACTGAGAAAAACATCATCAGCCTCAAACGTTGGCGAGTGCCGGGCTGAAAGCAGAGCTTGCATCCAAACACAGAACGGCCAGATGGCGGTCAAAATAACACTCCCATAAGGAGCCCTATAATTTCTCATTTTTCCTGGTTAAAAAGTCCTTCCGCTGACTCCAAAGCACGGCCAATGGAGACAGAAGACACCAGCCTTGGTGTGAGCAGATGCTGACTCAGCACCTAGAGAGGCCGCTTTTGTGGACCGCAAGGCGGTGCAGGAGACTTCTGGGCAACTTCAGCTTTAAACTTAAACAGGAGCAAATGAACAGGTACAAGGAAAGGTGAGAAATGAAAGGAAAGAATTGTAAGGAACGGGGTTTTTTTGGACTTAAGAACGATGACGATGTGATAATTCAAAAGAGCTGAGTAGCAAAGGAGTCTGGTGAGAACTTCATAGGTGCACAGCCCACCGTTATCCTGTGGGAAACACAAGACAGCTCCTCCTCCGAAGGCTGGGGCAAGCTCTCACCAAAACCCAAGCAGGACACTTGGCTCTACACGGCACCGGTACCTCGGTCCTGTCAGCCTGCACCTGCTCCCTGAGGGTTCGGGAAATCTGAAGTATCCTTGGAAGCCTGGCTGGTCCCTACCAAACACAACTGCTGCCATCTGTTACCGTGACCCCGCACGTCACCTTTCCCACCGAAGCAGAGGCTACACAGACTGCGAGGTAACTCAGAGCCAAAGGGGCGGGTGGGAGGCACAACCCGCGGGTCGTTTGCTGG